TAAAACTATCATAGTTTCATTTATAAAATTTTTAAAGAATATTATTCACATAATGGTGATTATGTAAAAATATATTTATGGCTCTCAAATAATTTTTAAATTGTTGTGAGGGACAGGATTGGCTCTTCCAGGGGTCGGCAAACTTTTGAGATAGAACGTACCCCAAAGAGCTGCATGTGGCTTGCGAGCCACAGTATGCCGACCCCTGATCAAGAGGAACCCAATTACATAAATCATGGCAAATACATATAGAACACTATGTAATCATTAAAAATGATGAAAAAATACCTATAACAGTCTTATTAATTATTGCTTTGCTTACCTTTTCAGTTTCTGGTTACTCCTAACTCACTTACTTCTGCTTTACTGGAATAGTGGTAATTTTATAATAGGCTGTAACATTTTATGTAATACTCAGAAGTGTTCTCTATATGCTTCTAATACGTATTTTCCTTCACTAGAATAAATTCCTCAAGAACAAAAGCCCTTTTTTTATTTTAGTCTGTACTATGCCAGCAGCCTGGTAAACGCTTGAAATTTGCTAAGTGTTTCAGGACTTAAAATTGTGTTAGCCCACAAAGTAGGCAAGGAAATATTTAAAAAACAATTTAAAAATTAGCAATGCACGATTTTCCCCTCTATCTTCCCTCAGACATTTGTACTTGCTCCTACCCTCACACTTCCCTTAATAAAATAAAATTTATCTAGTAATTAGCATTATCAGGGACTGTGTTAGGCATCATTAAATCTTTACAATGCACCACAATGCGGTGGGTCTGATTACCCTCATTTTAAGCCCTAAGATCACAGAAAGAGGCTGAGCTGGGATTCAAACTGAAGTGAAGCACACTCCTAAGCTTGTGCTCTTAATCAGTACACTGTATTGTCTCTCTAGTATTTCTTTGTGCATACCCATCTCTGAATTTATAATCATGATGAAATCTGAAGGGTGCTTCTTTTTTTTGAAGCATGGGAAGAGCTTTCATAGATATTATAAAAAGCGAGCCCCATTTATCTGTAAATAGATATAATGTTAGAACATGGTAGGTATATAAAAATGTTCCCTGAATTAAGGTAGTTGCTATTATTTAAGAAAGAAACATCTCCTCTGGAGTTACATGGTAAGAGAAATCGAAAGCTTCTGACTCCCAAATTGCTGCCTTAGTTCAAGGTACCCCAACCCAATCCTTAAATATATCTCAAAAAGGATACAGACATGACTCTTTAAGTCATTTCTCAAACCTCTACGAACCAATTCATAAGCTTCTTCCTTTTTTCCCAAACAGTTCAATGTTAATCCTTTCATAGCCAGGGTTTCTGTTTTTAAAAAAATAAGGAGTAAAGGTAGAAAAAAGAAATGAAATGTTAAAAATAATTAACAAAAAAGGTAACCATAATCTCAAAAAAAATGTTACATTACCCTAAGAACTGAAAACTTCGAGAAGGTTGTTGGGAAATTTTCCAGGTTTGCACACAATTAAATTATTTTAAAAATTGACAAACCAAGTTAAACCACATTTCTATACTTTAGGCCTCCATAGTTTATTTTTCAAAAAGAAGGTATAAAATTGCATGAATATCTGGTAATTCATATTTTAACAAGTTACAATGGATCTATTACAGTTCTTCAGGGAATTCCATGTAATGAACTTATATAATCACTCCTTTAAAGTATGAAAAACTTGATCTTGAAACAGACTTTTATTTACCCTTTGAATCCAAATTACATAAAAATTAAATTCACTGTTCAATGATTAAAACATAATCATAAATGTTTATAGTGATGTATTATCCTGAGGAGAAATCAACATTTATAGGAAATTACAGCTAAAGAAATTGAAGCAAAAGGGACGTGGGGAAAAAATCATATACAAATCATTATAAATCATGGATAAATTTAAAGGAAAAGAAACAAACAAAATATATTTGGCTAATAGACAAATTAGCAAGGAACTGTAGAAAGTAGCCCTTTGTTGTCAAACGAGTAAAATCGATTCTTTCAAGTTTTACCAAACATCTTAAAGTGCCTTACTTAATGAAACTCTGGGTGGCCATTAAGTTATGTACTGTTAAAAAGTATTTTCAGTTCAATTATGTTACTTCATATGCAAACTGATTCCAGATATGTTAAACACGAAGAGAAACTGCATTTTAGAAACAATGAAATCTGGTACTCTGCTGTACTGAAATGATCATTACATTAGGAAAAGTTATATTACCAGTATGCATACTTTAGAAATGAATATAAAACCACCTAATACCCAGCAGGCCAGCAAAAATATTTTTTAAAAAACAAAAAGAGATAAATTTACATACTTTTATTCCCACTGCTTTCCATCTCCAAACAATTTTATTATTACACTGAAAGTATACAAGAGTAAAGAAAGCTAAGACAGAACTATTACACTCTCGCTTCAATACTAAGAGAACATTATCAAATTAATTACCAAAGAGCCATGTTTCCTAACTGTACAAATCAGACCTGTGAAAGCTTATTTTTCCTTTGCCTGTTCACAAGTTTAGCTACACACTCTTCCCTTACTCTACAAACATCTCACTATCCAATCTTCTACCATCACATTGGCAAAAGCTAAAAAAACTTTCAGAACATTACAGTATATAAATTATATCTTAAACATGACTATCTTGAAAAACTAATTAAAATACAATGCTAAATAAAAAGATGTTGGCTCATCAGCAAAGGACCATAATGAACACTTTCTGAATAAGCTTATTATAAGGAATAAAATTCTCCAGCTCAACCAAAGTTCTAAAGCAAATTTTTCTTATACCATCTTAAATAAAATTATTTGTCAAATTTAAATAAGCATATTTGTCCCACTAGGTTCTTCTACCTTTCCTACAGTGCTTTTATTGAAACTAGGAATAAATCAGAACTCAAGAGAATGTGTTGTTTTCTTGACATTAAATTAAAAAAACAGTATTAAACATATTCTCACAGGAGCCAAGGACAAGACAGTCCATTCTCTCTGGAAAATAGTTAAGGCAGCTGGGAGTGACAGAACCCAAATAAGTAAAACCAGACAAGTAAGCAAAGCCTTCTCTACTTAAACTTACTTACAAGTAAGTATATAGAAGTTACACTTACCTCCATGCTCTGCAAATTTGGGGTTAGAGAGGATTTGCTTACAGAATTTCAATCCATTTCTATACTGTTTATGTTCATAACATCTCTGTGAAAACAAGAAAATTTGAGTTTAGCAAGAAATGAAAAAAATATTAAATTTAATGCTAAATTTCTGATTCTGTTAAGTACAACAGAATGATCAAATGTTATTTCCATATTCTCCTAAATCCTACTAAAATGCCAGTAAAAAATACATAAAAGGTTCAAATACAGAAAGTAAAGGCAAAACAAAAGGATAGAAAATAGATTAGGAAAAATAAGAACATTAGCTTACTTCAAAAGATCCTACAAGTGTTATTTGAAAACTGAAAAAAAAAGTAAAGGCGTAGAAATTATATTTCAAAATAACATTTTCTTTTTAACTGAAGAAGTCTCTCAAGCTGCAAAGGGACAAACAAGGGCATGCAAACTAATGAAGGGAAAAAAAAAAAGACCCGCACCATGGCACATCATAATGAAATTTCAAAACCTGGAAATAAAGCAAAAGTCCTTAAAAACTTTCAAAGTGGAGGGGAAAAGCATACCACACAAGAAGGATATGTAATCAAAATGGCACTGAACTTTTATTTCAAAGTAACAATGGAATATTGCCAAAAGCCATATACACAGCCTTCAAAATACAGCAAGAAATTAAGTTTCAACCAAGAATTTTATACCCAGCCAAATTATCAATCAAGTACATGGGTAAAGTGAAATTTTAAGGCTTCTCAGAAAGCTGAAATTTTATTTCTATGCACTTTTCCTTAGCAACCTATTAAAAAGGATCAAGGCAAATTAAAAAAAGATAACATAGAACTTAGTAAACATGGAATCTAACGCAGAAGGAAAAAAACCAAAAAACTAGAGAAACACCACTCCAAAATGAAACAAGAAGCCAAAGGCCACCATGGAATAGATCTCCAGCAAGGGTAAAAATAGAACTGATGTACTTAATAATACTGAGAATATTTACTTATAAGCACACGACAGTAATACAGGCACATTTGGGGGAAAAAATAAAGGCTTATATACGAAAGGAAGTGTGGTCTTAGTGTAATATTTGACTTAACATGAACAATATACGCATAATTATAAAAATGTAAACATTCAGTACTGATATTGTGATATAACTATAATGGGAAAGTGGGCAAATGTGTGAATGACATAGTTCTAAGTCCTCATTTTCCATAACCAGAAGTCAATAAATGTCTAAAAGTCATGTATCAAGAAACAGTGATGTTATTTATTCATTTATTTATT